CTCTCTTAAATACAGAATGCTCATCATTTTGGGTTTGCCTGATGTTTCCACAGGATGGGGCTCAGGTTTGCATTATCAGCTGGAATCCTGCACGGGCGATCCTATATCCTTATCAGGGTATCACATCTGGAGGTATATGGATTYGGCGCTGTCTTTACTGCTGATGACAATGTTGATCCCCCAGTCAAGATGGGGGATCAATTATGTAATTATAAAAACAAATTACACAGTTTCTGTAATTACTGCCTTCTAGTGTCCTTTGTGACTAATAGGTAGTTTGTAGGGAAACACCTGAAGACCATGCAAATATCCTGATTCTCATAAAAAATTCTCTTGGTATTTAGTATTCATCAAGGAGCTTTTGCAAACTGCTGTTTCTCCAACTCTAGCTCATTCTATACCAATCAGTCTTCCTAATTCACTAGTTCATSTATTTATTGTTGACAAGGACATATGTTAGTGTTCTTGATCGGTTTAAAATTAATTAATGTATCTAATTATATTTGCCCCCAGGTACCCATAGGATCTAAATTCACAGATTGAAAAATATTCTTTAAAAAACTGCATCTGTACTGAACATGTACAGACTTTCCTTTCTTGTCATGATTTCCTGAGCAACACAGCRTAACAGCTACTTAAACAACATTATATTGCATTTGGTTTAAAGTATATAGGAGGATTTCACAGGTTATAAACACTAGTACACCAACCTATACAAGAAAACTGAGTACCCAAGGGTTTTAGTACCCTCGAGGATCCTGAACAAGATACACCAAGGGACAACTATGTTTTGTGCTCACACTGGGAATTGTGGAAGCCCCTTCGAGTTGGCTCCTGTGACACGCCCCATAAGCATTCTTTACTTTCTGCCGTAATGAGATGCTGGCTACTTTTCCAAGGAGCCCCAGTTCCTCTTGGTGGGAAATGGCAACAGAGGTTGCAGTCGGGGCTAGAGATGCACTTGTTGCTACTGGATGTCTCTGTTTCTTGGCCCTCCCGGCACACACATCAGAAAYCACATGCATGTACAGACACACATACATAGATTTCCATACACACGAGAACAMACACAAGCATGCACGTCTAAGTATCTATTATTAAAGTTATGATTACACACTGATGCCTCCATCTACCTCACAATTAATCTCTTGCCCTCCTTCATGTTTGTGTGCCTCTTACTCCACAGTGAAAACCAAGCTCCCCAAATAGCCACACAYTCATTCTCTTAACCTTATCATATATCTAAAAGTTACAGAACTATTTTACTCGTATCACCACTAAATAATTGAGTCTATTAAAAAGATATTTCATTCTACAGCAAAAAAAGATAGAGCAGTGCCCTAAAATAGCAAATCAYGATTCTGGCTAACTCACATTAATAAAATGGCAGTCAGGAGACCACATAGTGTTTAAATGGAAGAACTTCTAGATAATACAAAATTTAAAAATACTTCAAACTGCAGCMWCTGAACATGACCCTGTGTTTGYTACAGGAATGAATGACCAAGTCTCCTCTGGGAGAACAGCGATAGGAAAGATAAACATCTGAAGGGTTCAAGTGAAGACTCACCTTTTCCAATATGCCGCCTGGTGTTTTCAATAGTGGAATTCCGGTTAACATTGGAGAGCAGCCCAAGGCAGAAACGGTTCTTATTGTTGGAAGGATCAGTGAAACCATCCACCAACACACTTGTGGAGGAGGCATGGAACGCTTCACCCACTCGATTGTTGAGCTCATAGTAGACAATAGAGCACCAGTGTTTTGGTTCCTCATAAGCAACTGCCTGAACATCTGTAAAACAGAAAAGGTTCCATCAACTGAAGTTTGTGCCTCGGGCTCTCAAAAACTGAAACTGCATCCAAAAAACTGGCTCAGGATCATGGAAGAGCAACTGCGGTTACAGGTTTTCTCTGATGCCTAAAGCAGGTACTTCTTACGAAGTGTGACATTCACCTTTAAAAGGAAAACAATTTCCTACAATTACTATCTGAGAGCAAGCCCAGCGACAGCATCTGCTGAATACTAACAAAATGCTACTTGCTCTTTAATATGCAGAAATGGAAATCACCCTACCACAGACCCTGGCTCCCCATCTAAAGAAGCAAAACAAGAGGCCAGTGAAAAAAACAAGTGGGAAAGAACAGCAGAGGCCCGGAGTTAGGCCAAGAGGGCCGCATACAAAGGGCTCACTTTTGGCAAAGCCTTTTCTACCTATGCTTTTTAAAGGAATGAAAATCAGTTTTTAATTATTGATAAGAAGTGACTTTATTTCGTATAAAGTTGCCAATAATGATCACAGCTCCAGTTCTGCTCCAGTTCTCCAACTCAGGAAGAAATCCTGCCAGCTGGCCATTCTTACACAATGAATCATATCTCTCTCATCCAGATTTCATGCTAACTTCCTTATATTTGCTTTAAGTCATGCAGAGCAGGTGTGTTTTGTCTCTCCATTCCCAGAATGGGCCAACAATGGAAATTACCCAACTTTACTGACAGGATGCAGCTTGTTAAGTCAAATCTCCTAAGACTAACAAGTCTCCCAACAGAACACACTTCTAAACACTTGCAACTAAAAGGTTTTAAAGATAAGTTCCTTCTGTAGTAAAACCTCTTGTACAACTGCTTTAGAGATTCCAGGAATACAAAACCATAGTATTTCCAGCATACCAATAAATAATGATCTGAGGTTTATGAAGTCTTGGGTGTGCAATCATAAAAAATTGAAAGAAAATCCACATCAGAGGCATGGGCTATAACTGTTCAGGGAGAAGAACCTCTGTGTTCTTACTATCAGCCTCTACACATATTAAAATGCACTTTGTTTTTGACTTTGGTAAAGAAAACAAAGAAAACGATCACTAAAAAATCCCACACATTAGTTGCTTTATATACTTACATATTTCAGCTGAAAATATATACTATTTCCCTTGTTTTCTAAGCAACTCTGCCATGTCAATTTGCTTAAGCTCATGGAGCAAAATTTTAGTGATTTACAAGTGCCCAACCTTAAAGACGGCTCCAATGTCATTCATATAGGTCTTTTATCAGCTTCCAGAATTGTTCAAAATACTATTCAAGTAGACCAGACACTGATGCAATTCTTTTTCTATAAAAGTGCCCTGATAGGGCTGGGGCTGTAGCTCAGTGAAAGAGCACTTGCCTCACATGCATGAGGCACTGGGTTCAATCCTTAGCACCACATAAACATAAATTAATAAAATACAGATATTGTGTCCATCTACAACTAAAAAAATATTTTAAAAAAATGCCAGAATATTTCGTGAGCCATACAATCTTTATTAGAACTACCCCACTCTGCCCTTGTGCAGCAAAGGCAGTCAGAGATCACAGGTAATGACTGGCACGGCTACGCTCCAATAAAGCTTAGTTTACAGAAACAGGAGCAGACTCAAGGGGATGTGGGCTCCAGTCTGCTGACCCCTGCTCTTGGGAAGTCACCAACAAGGACAATAAGAAAAAGGCCCAAYATCCCCTTCCTTATGAAAATATTAAATGATTGTAGACTTATTCCAATGGGGAAAAAATTTAAAGTTATATTAACAGGAACATTCTTAAATCTGTGTCTATTTCCTGAAATCAACATGTTAGACTTAACCACAATGGGCACAGGGTCCACAGGGTCTCATCAGTGTGTACTACTCTGTCCGTTCTCTCCTTCTATCCTGTTCTCTAAATTCCAAAAACGTGTGCGAGAGGGATTATTTTTCAAATCAGAGTGTTTATTTGTTGACTTATAGTTGTATGTTTGATAGGATGTCCTAGAGATGATCAGGTACCATAAAACAGAGAATCAATAAAAAAGAAAGTGATTTTAAAAATTTAACTGCTTAGAAGTTGTACATCCCAATTTATTACATTGCACATCTAAGAAAGGTTCTTTGGGTTCGACTTTTTAAAAATAAATCTTACTTTTTAGAGCAGTTTTAGGTTCACAGAAAAGTTGAGTACAAGGCCAATAGATTTTCAATATGTCCCCAACCCTATGCATAGCTTCCCATATTATCCATAACCCCTATTGAGGGGTATATTTGTAATAACCTATAAATCTACTATGACACATAATTATCATTCAACGTCCAGAGTTAACATTTATATGGGGATGTATGTGGTACTGGAGATGGAACCCAGGGCCTTGTGCAATCTAGACAAGTGCTCTATCTTAGCTACACCCTTATCTCTTGGTGTTGTTCATTCTGATGGTTTGGACAAATGCATAGCAACACATAGCTATCATCATAGTATCATATAGATATCATCAAACTTTAAGTACTTAAAAATACCTGCAACTCTGACGAAGTCTGAGATATCTATTTTAATTTAAAAAGTGTCAATAAGACATATCTAGCAATCAAGTTGCATTTTTAACTTCAATTTGCATAAATGTTACACAGATTGAACAATCTGTGCATGTGAGTGTGTGGGTGTGCCAGTGAAACCCTTCCCGAGAGGCCACTGGCTGTGGCTTCTAACAGATGCTCAGGGTCCTATCATACTTAATTTACCTGTGCTCTGCTCTCTTAAGCCTACTCGCCACTGTCAACCTGCAGGAAGGATGGCACTATCCCCTCAGTCACTGCTGAAATTAAAGACCCACCCTTCACTAAGGAAGGAAAGAAACACTCAGTTCTGCTTAGAGTTCTTCAGGGTGAGAAGAGGAAAAAGGTGTGCCTCAGTGTCTTTCGGGTAATAAAGTTAGAAATAAATTCAGCAAGAAAGAAGCAAATGTTATTAGTTTTGGTTTCAGCGAGACATAAATAAGGTCTAGAAAACAGATGGAGTTTATGCATATAGATCCTAACCACAAAAGAAACTTTTCAGAAGGCCAGTTATGAGAACTTTCCACTCTGAACATCACCTGTGGAGCTGGTGCTGTGCCCACTGGGGTTCAACTCCCCTCTGTCCACTTAAAAGCATTCCTTTCATCACCAGCTCTAAACGATGCAGTATTGGAGATAAAAAGACGACTGCACAACCACACTCAGGCCTCTGTTAATCAAAAATTCAGTGTTTGCTCTTTAAATAAGAGACATATGTGTTATCCGCAGAATTCTGCCCACCGAGCTTCTCTTCCTGTGCTCTGCCTTTCTCTAGCAGCTATCTTTTTTAAAGATTAATAAACTTTGTGAGAGAAAGCAACATATTGACTTTGGATTGTAAAAGGGGAGTRACCAGCAACTCATTTTACCTCCTCTGTTGATTTCTGAGGGCAGGGAAGGCGCCATCATATTTGTGTCCATTGGTTGAGAGCCATCCTGGGTCATGGGGTCCTCGGGAGGCAAGTAGGCAGGTGGGGGAGTATCAGCTACAAAGTTTCAAAAAAATCAACATGCTTAAAACACTCTTAAACACGTATTCTCAAAAGTGCTTAAAACACATATTCTCTTCTCTGCTAAGACAAGACCCCAAGTTGCCATCTAACCTCCACATCAGAAGACTAGATACTACGGACACTGGTCTTGATGTTACCCCAAAACCTTACACATTCTTGATGACAATTCAATGGGAGGAGCACCCACTATGAGCCCAGTTCCAGGAGCTGTCAGCCTGTTCAGGACCACACGATTTTATTTATTTATTAAACATTACATGCAATTTCTTGTTAACACTTAGGAGTTTCACCCAAGTTTTTAGCACTAATTATACAGAAGTCTTAATAAAAGTCTATGGAAAATGCTTCCCATCACTAATATTTGTTGTAGCCATTTTTGGGAACCTTAATGACTTCAGTGTCCTTAAGGCTTATAATATGRCATTACTATTGCCAGCTTTTTCTAAACTTCTGCAGAAACACATCCAGGTAAGCAGACTCACTAGCTGGCTTGGACCAGGACATTTAAAAAAACAATCAGAACGGCACTTAACTATGGATGGAAAACATCTGAAAGCTAATTATTTAAAAAGGAGGTTTCAGAATCTTTTGTATTAAACCTATGGGCTTTTTAGGAATTTACCAGCCAAGTTTCATTAGAGTCTATGGATTTAAACTGATAATTTTCCATGACTTTGAGCAATATGTTAGGATTACCTTCTCCCTTCTATTTAAATCAGCACTAGTTTTAAAATCCCTAATAATAAAATAGTTGGAAATAAATCAGTTTATCACAGTTTTAATTCTAAAATCTTCTGTTTCAGAATCTACGTATGTACTCTTCTGAAGGGCTCACCAGCTGGCAAACCAGGGCAGCAACAAAGACTAATAGAAGTGATGTTTTCTTACTGTAAAATAGAGGGTATTTTGGKTCCCCACAAACAACCCTTTGTGGTCCAAAGCCAAATTCCTCACTGGCTCTTGGGAGCCCACCACCTAGCACCCATAACAGAGCCTAGGGAACAAACTTTGATCTTAGGGAACCATGCATGCTTGGAGAAGTACTCAGGGCAACTCTCCAACACAAATAACCAGCACTTGGGGTTCTTGGGGATTCTACTGATGCTCCTGTTGAATCAGCCCAATGCTTCCACCATCCAGCTGCTGAAAAGCTGTGACTCAATGTCCTGACACAGGATTAAGGGGTTGCAGCTGGATGCCCCCCCCCTTTCTTCTTCTCTTTTAAAATTAGCTTCTTCTCTATTAAAATTGACTCGGTTTTACCTCAAGCCAGGACTGAAGACAGCCTCCTCTGAGCCTGAATCCTTTGAATTTCTGCTATCAAGTTGGTGACAATTTCACTGGCAGCCTGCAGCATCAGCATGGCTGATGAGGAGGGAGCAGTTCATTATTGCTGGTGGTCTACTACTCCTCCTTTCTTCTTCCTGCATTTCCTCTACTTGGCCTGTGCCTTAATCCCTGACAGTCAAGGACAAGGTGTAAATTCAGGCAATAACCTTCAGTGTTTTCTTTCAGGCTCGCCCTGGGTGYCACTATTGAAAGTGCTCTGAAATATATCTCCTTGCCACTAACCTGTCCATCAAACCCAACAGGTTTTTGAGGGAGCAGTGTGGACAGGGAATCACCAAATGWTATTAGTTTGATCTTACTATCACACCACCTTCATCCCAAAAGTTTTGGATTGAAAAACCACAAAGCAAAAAAAAAAAAAAAACCAAACAGGCTTAAAAGTGGGGAGTTAACAAATACATAAAAATGGAAGCAATGGAAGCAATATGAAGTATGAAACACTTCCCTTTTTTTTTTTTTTCCAGTACTGGGGATTGAATGTAGAGACACTTTACCTCGGGGCCACATCCCCAAACCTTTTTATATTGCTAAGTTGTAGAGGCTGGCTTTGAACTTGTGATTCCCTTGWCCCAGCCTTCCAAGTGGCTGGCATTATGGGTGGGTACCACCACAATGGGTCATTTTTCAATTTTTGAAGGTTCAGGACTRATGTTCAATTTGACACGTTTGCCCATTTTCCTTTTCCAAAATGTTAAWGGATTTCAAGTGTACCTTTGATTCTTCTTGAGGTCAACTGGCCAGAAATTTGGTATTAWTTTTTTTTKTGTGTGTGAGATGCTTGTTTATTAATTTATAATTTGAAAAATACAATGTCCTAATTAATCATTTATTTTGATAACCATTACACCATCAGTTATGTCTAAAAGAGGAAAATAATTGTTTTTTGTCTCTGCTRAGTTAAACAAGCAGATGGTTTCCAGTACTTCTGCTGCAATTCCTTTGTTGCTAAAGTATATGTTTCTTGGGATTACATCACCACTTAAATGAATTTAATTAAATGGGGAGGGAGGGTGTGATCCCTTAGGAAATATCTTTTCTGAAGTTGCACTGGCAACAGGGGTTTTCCACATCTGAAATGATGTTAATCGAGACTGTTTTTCATAACAGCAATGTGTGTAATGCACTATTTCTCTCTCTCTTTTTTTGTATCAAGAGCAAAGACTGTAATAATTATGCCACTCCCAGAAGGATGCAGCTGTTTCAAAACTTTTTTAAAACAAAGGAAAAACAGTTTATTTGAGCATTTGTGCCTGACAAAGAAAGCAAGACATTTGCTTCCTTGGCTGGAACCTCCTTCCTCTGCAAGTGGCACTGCAAAGCACCAGAGATTGGGCCCGGATGCTGCGGTGAAGCCCCCTCCCGCCAGGTCTCCCTGGGACCACTCCATCCTACCTGGCATCTGGAAAGGGCTGCCCGGGTCTGAGCTGGTGGGAGAGTGGGGATAGGTGCTGCTGCTGCTTCCGGGAGAGTTCGGGTAACTGCTGCTGGGAGAATGAGGGAACGGGTGGCTGTTGGGCTGCTGGAAAGAATCTGGAAAAGTGGCGTTGAGTGGCATGTGAGGCTCATTCTGTCCCAGGTTCCGGAACTGAGCTAGGAGGCTGTGCTGAGGGTTATATTCACTGTGTCTCGGAACCAGCACTGGAGGAAGAACTGGAAACAAGGAGAGGAAAAAAAAGAGAAATAAAAATGAGAATTGTGAAGATCGATCAGCACCTCACTGTAAAGCTGTAACATTATCTGTAAGAAACAACAAATGATCTGAACCCGGCCCTGCTGCCAACTCAAAAACACCATTCAAATGAAAAGCCACTGAGGCTCAGGAACAAATATAGCCTCTTTAGACCCCGAGATGACATATGCCTGAGATCTGCAGCACAGACAAAATGCCCCAGAAAAGTTTGCAAAATATATTCTTTTAGGTTAAAAATTGTTAAGTTTCTCATTGTTAATTTTTCCACCCACTAAAAACCAAACACAATTAGGAATATGTCACCATTGACAAGTCCACTTCACAGCCCAGCTGATAAGGTGTTTATTGAATGATATGAATTATTCCCAAAGAATGTTTTAAATTGACACACGACTTGCTTTAAAATGAAAAGGAGATAAATGAAGTCAAGAAGGTAGATACAGTGGGCAAGAGAACATCCCAAGGCTGGTGAAGATGTCCATCACACAGGGAGCGATGCTCTGTTGGGCAGGTTCATGCTGTGTCCCATCCCAGCAGCAGCACTCCATGAACATCTTTTCCTAAGGAGCTCAGTGACTTTACCCAGCATTCCTTGGCACCACTTGGTAGGCCAAGGAGGACACAGGATGAACTCTACATTCTGCTAACTGAAAACTCAAGGTATGAAGGCCAAAAGGCAGGCACCTGGGAGAAGCAAAACAACTCCTGTCACTCCTAAAAGCCTCCTAAAAGCTCTCTATAATACTAAGAACCCAAGGAGTTGAAAATCGGCATGTTCATCAACCTCTAGAAACCGCCAGGCAAAGCCGCTATTGATACAGGGGCAGGGGAATGGTCAGTTACAGAGCCTTGAGTAGGCTCCACCCTAAGTTTCCCACTTGGTCACCGGTTCCTCCTAATGACAAAGGCCTCTGGAAGTCCTCCTGCTCTTGTAGCCTCGATGGAGAGGATAAAACCCATTTTCAAACTGCACAATCCAAGAGACAAGATTTCAAATCTATTATAGTTGGAAGTTCAAACTCCATGTGTTAAAGAAACAATACTTGGTGGCATTAGGAATTCAGTTGACTTTTGAGGCTTTCCAGGCAATCTGTCCATGATCTGTTTTATTTTCGGGGAAAATAAGCTCTTAATACTTGGATCATTACATATTTATGGGCTGAAAAAAATATTTTTTAAGTAAAAATAGGTTTTATAAGTATTAAAATTTCTCATGCTGTATCTTAAATTTCTATATAATCCTGTAGCAGATTTGTTGATTTCTCTATTATTTGGTCCTTTAGGAACTAAGCTTTTGAGCATATATAATTTTTTTAAAAAATTTTTAATAGCTCTGTGATGGAATCTGCCCAAACCAAGCCATGAAAAGCCTGATTCTTTTCTCCTTCTACCTTTCAATGTCATCTGAAGTACAAACTACTTTGCTTTATCAAACAAATTCCTAATAAATGCTTCCGCTATGCCAATAGAAACCTTACAAAATAAACACAATCTGTCAAACAGTCCAATACCTTTAAATTATCTTCTAGCTACAGTTTGTTATGCTTTTCACTCTAACTCACCCTAACTCCTAAACCACTTCCCACAAATGCAGAACCAGGCTGCAATCTGAATCAATTCTCCATCTCCTCTACCTTTCCGAGAGCATCCCCTGCCTGCCTATTTTAGCAGCTCTTATTCTGCCCAGGAGTCTTAGACTGAGGACTTCCTGTTCCTACTGCCTGCAGGCAGGGCAGCCAGGGGGGAAGAATTAACCTTTGCCACAGCAAAGGACAACGTGTTTCTGTACCCCCAGCATGTGTTCCTGCAGTAACCCTGTTGTGTGGCTACCTGCTCAGGYACAGAGCTGTCCTCAGCCACAGATGAGCTCCATCAGCTTTTGTAGATGACCTGGGAAGTGAACCACCAAGGACAGCGAAGCAGCATGCTGCAGAAGAACTTGACCAGAAAAGTAACTATTTCCCTCACCTCTGTTTTATTTTGGTGTGGTGCTAGGGACTGGACCCAGGGCATTGCACATGATAAGCACATGCTCTGCTGCTGAACTCYACCTGCAGGTCTTCACCTCCGATTATTAAGATGATTTTGTCATTGCTGGTACAGGACCTTTTAATAAACTCTAAGTAATGAATTATTAGAGATCTATAGTGAGATGCACAGATCTTCGCATAAACAAAACATATACTGCTCCATCTGGCTTCTTCCCCTGTGAGATCCATCTAACGTTGTGTTCCATTTTATCACATGTATATATTGCAATATATTTGATGATATAATTATAYCTTATGCCAAAGAAATTTTTTCCAGTTTGGAGTAATTATAATGAAGCTGCTATGATTCCTTTATTTAACTTATTTTAAAACAATTTCAAAGCTACAGAAAAATTACAAGAATAGTATAAACAACTCATATATCCTTTACTCAGATTCAACAGTTTTTAACATTACGCCACATGTGCTTCATTATTACATCTCCTCCCTTCTCCTTTCACAGGCACATGCACATATACTCTTTCTGAATTATCTGAAAGCAGGTAGCATATATCCCCCACAATTCCTAAAAAGAATATTAACTTCCACATATAAGGTTAACAAAATAGCTGCTTTCAGTTTCATACTACTAACATWTGAGTTGTTTCATAGACTCTCTCTCAATTTGGGGTTTCTCCTCTGTTTCTTTTCTTTTTTTAAAAAAAATATTTTCTTAGTTGTTAATGGACCTTTATTTTATTTATATGTGGTGCTGAGGATCGAAAACCAGTGCTACACATGTGCTAGGCAAGTGCTCTATCACTGAGCTACAGCCCCAGCCCTCTCCTCTATTTTTTGATAATTAAACTCAGAGATTTCTGACTGAAATACTGCCCAGGTGATATTGCCCCCTTCTGAGGGTAAATATCCAAAAGCCACTGTGTCTGCTTATGATTGATGTGTTGTCTAATTCATCCACTGTCTATAGTTATAATTCTTCCTTTTGTAATAAGAAAATCAGTGAAAAATACCTTAAGTCTATGTAAATACCATTTCTCATCAAACTTTACCTCTATGTGAAGCATCCATTTTTGCTTGAATCAATTTTTGCTATAATGATTACAAAATGGTGTTATTTAACTCCATTATTCCTCGTCAAAATTCTAACATGAGCACTTTCCCTTCTTCCCCATTTACCTGCCCATCTATGACAATCAATCATCCACACGGAGTCAAGGATTCTTAGTCAAAGGACTACCTATTTTGACGTTCAGATGGTCTTGGAATTGGCCATCAGGAGCCCTTGCAAGCTGGCTCCTATGTCTTTTTAACATGCCATAATTTTTTGAGATTTAATTTCTGGAATAAGATGTTCCAGACTTATCTTTCACCGTTCTCTCYAGCTCTAGAATTCCCAGTCCCTTTCAGTTAGGAATGAGATATAGAAACCAAAATCTGGGCTCTGTGTTCTCTAAGTTTACCAGAGTCACACAGATTCTAGGGGTGTGTGGGCACCTGTSTCTTACAAATCCCAAGTTTTTACTGTTAGCTCCAAGTCCAATCCAACTACACAGGGTTTTGATTTGATTTCCTCCTTTAGTTCATATCAGTGTAGCCATATTTCAGGAACAAGCCTCAGCAACACCAATATTAATACATTTATGAAGAACATCCTCAATTCTAAAAGATACTTAAAATTTTTCAGAACAATTTTTCAGAATCATTATATTTATACTAATTTATAAACCAAACCTAAGATAAACTTGAGGCTTATTTTCTTTTTATGAAAAGTTTTTTTTTATATATAAAAAATACTTAAGATTTGCTCCAATTCATTTACAATGTATTCCCTCACACCCAGTGTTATTTTATTAACTTGAAATTTTCTTTCTCTTCTTTTGGTGAGTTTATTTATTTGAACATGACGTTTGTTGCTGTTTTAAGAATTTTGTTCTGCAATCTTGATTTAACTTTATTTTTTAAATAAAAGAATGTTAACATGATTCTGAAAGTCAAATACTATAGTCCCTCTCCTGTGTCTTTTACTCAGTCCCCTATTCTAACCTCCTCATTTTTATTTTCAGGTTTATTCTTCCTGTGTTTCTTCTTGGGGGTGGGGGAAAGCAGATAAATGTCTGATTTTTTTTTTTTTTTAATTTCCTCTTTACTACTAACAAAGAAAGGTGGCCTACTGTTRTTATCTTCTGCACTTTTGCTTTTTCTACACCTGTTATGGTTTAGATGTGGTGTCTCCCAAAAGTTCACATGTGAGACAATGCAAGAAGGTTCAGAGAAGAARTAATGTGGTTATAGCCTTAACCTCATCAGTGAATTAATCCCTKATAGGATTACCTGGGTGGTAGCTGGAGGCAGGTGGGGTGTAGCTGGAGGAAGTCCTCACTGGGGGMATGGCTACGGGGTCTATATTTGTATCTGTCAAGTGGAGACCTCTGTCTCTACTTCCTAATCAYCATGTAAGCTGGTTCCCTCTGCCATATTCTTCCACCATGATGTTCAACCTCATCTTGAGCCCCAAGGAATGGAGCCAGCTTCCTATGAASTAAGACCTCTGACACTGAGACCTCAAAAAACTTTTCCTCCCCTAAAATTGTTCTGGTCAGATCCTTAAGTCACAGCAGCAAAAAAAGCTGACTAAAACCACATTCTAGTAATAACTTCATGTTATAGAGATCTTCCTCATTTGTTTTGAAGTCCACCGTCAGTTTGTTGAGCCCGTCTCCCATGCCTGGGTGTATTAAGTGGTTCCCATTATTTTACCTGTAAGGTTGCACTGACTGCGCGTATGTGCGTGCTGCTAAATTCCCACAGGTGGAGATGCCGGGTGAAGGGGTAAATGCACATGTGACGGTGACTGTTAAGCTCCCCTTGTAAGGTTGTCATTTCCCACTGCCACCAGTTATGCATGAGCATCTTTCCCCTACCATTTTCCAGAGACTTGGTCAAGCTTTGGATGCTTTTGACAATCTGGT